TGTGTGGTTTTTTCATTTTTACTTTTTGAAAGTGGTCACATAAATCATGAATTATACAGGTTGCACCTTTGATATGGAAAATGTATAATATGGTGTAACAAATCTGTGGGTTCTGTACATCTACACAGAGCAGCAAATGAAGAAAGTTGTCCATAATGAAATTACCTCAGCATATCACCTCAAGAATGTTCATGCTCCTGTATTGCAAAGGTAAATTAGTCTAATTCTCTCAGGTCAAGTGTCACAAACCTGAATCACTGTCAGTAGTTGTGTAAATCATGAAAATGTAATTGCAGACTAAGTCACTGCAAGTTTATATTCTTGCCAGCTTTGTTTACCTAAGCACACAAGTAACTAATATGATAAATATATGTTTGCTATATAACATGGATGCTCTAGATAGGCAGGGGCAGGTACTTTCCCTTTTTATTCATCATTTAGCATCTACTGTTGCATCTTCCCTTTCAGTGCACAATCTTTATGCAATATTTTGCTGATACCATCTCATAATACTTAGCATACAAGCAGCGTAAGGCTGTCATACGGGTAATGATGGCTGTGCATGCATGATCTGACAGCAATAAGGCTTAGAAGATGTAAACATGATATTGCTTCCAGACTTCCAACTAGTTGTGGGAATAATTGAAATGGAAAGGATCCTATTTATTTGGGAAAACAAGTTGAATAGTTTGAGTTGGCCTTTGGGAATGAACAAGATACAAATTACAGAAGCAAATCTGAAACGGGCATCCTTATTTAAGAGCCTACTAAGACTACCTTGAGTTAAGAAAATTAATCATCTCGTTTTATGGTCTGAGGAGCATTCTGCTTTATGTATCTCCTGCTGCCTTCTTTAATGGTTCTCTGAACATTTTTTCCCACAGCACCAGGCCTGAAACCAGTCTTTTCTACAATCATGACTCCTTAAGCAAAATTACTAAGCTAATGGGACTAGAAACAAATAATGGAGATCAAAGATAGCTATGCCAAAGATTTCTCCCATGTTCAGGTTGCTCTGTGCTTTGTTATTTTCCACCAATGAGGTGACCTACAGAGGCATCACGAAACACTAGAAGGTTGGTCTACCTGTCCTTCTATCCCTCACTCCTGCTGGCCAGCGGCGGGGGATTCTTTGTGCGCAGCCATCTGTGGCTCTTGCAGCACTCTTCGGGCCTGCTGGCAATGGTGGCCATTTTAAGCTGGGAGTTATAGGTAGACATCACATTTCTAAGCTCCTGCCACATGAGGGTCTGTGTTTCCCGGTACTGACAAAGAATCTTGGTCCCTCTGTTGGGATAGGCACAGCCATAAATGTAGAATGACAGCTAGCATTTCTGCGGTGTTCTTCAAAGTCCTGTACGGACATGTAAGAAGACATGGGCTCTTGCTTGCTTTCTTGGAGCATCCTAATAATTCAGCCTGCAACTTGAGTGCTTCAGGGACAAAGGCATGTCGTGTCTGAACCACCTCTTGTTCTTTATGCAACTATTAAAACATTACTAAAACGAAGAATGGTGGGAAAATCAATAAATTAAGTTAGTTTAATTTTACCAGTAACTTCAGAAATTAGCCTATTGATAAAGTTATGGCAGTAGAATGAGACACTTTCTGAGCAGCTGAGTGTGTTGGGCTATAGAGTTTTGTGCAACTGCCTGAAGAATCTCCAAAGAGGCCTCCCAAACCTTCAGAAAGTGTTAGCCTTTTCCAGAGTGGTGGGATAACAAGTGTCGAGTCAGAATCTCGATATTTTGATAGAATTAGAATTGTAAATCATGAGCCAGCCATTTAGTTGATACAGTGGAATAGGCCTACATGTCCCTTAGTTAGGCTTTAGTGCATTTATCACAGTTGAAAATTATACTTCAAGCCTTATTTAATAAGAGTGTGTGGCATCTTAACTAAGAGCTGTCAAACTCTTAAACATTTAAACTGTGACTTCATCAGGCTTTTGTGGCTGTTTATGTTGTTAATAGTTGGAACAGATACAGAGCATATACACTTACATGAAGACGGGCTGAACTACTCAACCTAGTTTGGGCTGTAAGGCCCCCTTCTGAATTAAGCTTTTCCTTTGTAATAAGAAGGAGGGTGGAAAGTGCTGTCTGATCCTTTTGCTCCCACTACTGGGATTCCAGGAGACAGTTAATCTTTTATTCTTGACTTAGAGATGCCCAGATTGGGATAATGCAATTCCGAAAGACCTTCCATCTCTCTGCAAAAACAGTCTCACAAGCCAGGAGTTATATGAAGTGAAAGTGTCCCTCACTCCTCATACAAACTAGCTGCTGAGTTGACATTACGTTCAGTTCACAACACTCACTTCTGCTAATACGCAGCTTTTCTTTTTGTCTTCCCCCTTCCCTGTTATGCCTTCCTCATGGAAGGACTCTGGCCACAGACAGGGTGTTCCTGCTCCAGGTAGTCTAGTTGGAGCAGGGGCTGAATTTGCAGAGCAGTTACTCCGGTGCCATCCCAAAACTGTATCAGGGTTATATTTGTCCAGAGGAATAGGGTGATTGGAAAACCAGGTAATGCAGCTGCCATGGACTGTGCAGAGACACGTCAAACGACACTGTCAGCTACTGCTGTCAAGACTAATAACTCAGGGCTGACTCTGAAAGACGTAAGCAAATGCCTTTGGGTCTGCTCAAGGGTCTTGTCGCCAAGCTCCAGGGCTGGGAGATCTGACCTGTGGGGCAGCTGCAGAGGAAAGGCCAGTCCAGCTCTGCCCCAAGCAGTCCATCAAGGCGTGTTGCTCATGCCCAGATACACCTTGTAGTTCCGCTTGCACTTCAGTCCCTCTGCACAGTGCTGAAGGGCGTTACAAGCGGCTGGTGGTCAATAGCACACAGGTATAAAGTGGCAGGAGGTGGCACCCAAGCATGTGTAAGAAGGACCAGCGCAACTGTTCGCGTACACCGTGAGTGCCGTCAGTTACGCAGGCGCACTTCCCGACCCGTAGCTCCCCACAGCTACCAGCTGCCTGAAACCAGGCCGATGTCACAATGAAGAGCAGCAGCAGTACCGCCCAGCTGGGCCCCGTCACTGTGCTCCTGCAAGGAGATGGTGTCGGCCTTCTCAACAGCTCCGACCGGCACAGCAGGCCCTTGGTATAGACATGAGCTAAATACATAGAAATATTGTTACCTGCTGCAAGATACTTAGGTGTTTGTCTGAATGGTTAGAGATGACGTGCTAAAGCACAAGAACCAGTAAAAATACAATTTATTGGTGTAATTTGGGCCACGGAAGTGGTGTCCTTTAGGCAAAAGAATTATGGAATAAGTACACATAGTCATTGTAGTTTTTAATAAAGGGTCATTATTTTTCCATGGCCTTAAAATACTCATGCAAACTAAATATCATATAGGTATGTGAACAGGTTATTGATAGTCACTCTGTCAATAGTTTCAGTCCTGAGCCATCCAAACTAATTATTGCTCTGAAACAAAAAAAGGCTAAAAACATTAAAACAGAAGGCAAATAATGCAGCTTCCTATTTAATTTTCAGTTAAGAATTAAGATACAGACTTCCTTGGGAAAATAGCGTTTCAGTGTCAGCTGTGCGATTTCAGTAGGGTCTGTTGAAATAGTTCTATTAATGGAGTTGTACAGAAGTTGAAATTGTTTTTTGCTGCCTGGAATTAAGGGATGTAGCTTAATAAAGTTTTCACCATTACGCTCTATTCAAGTTTCAGCAGTTAGTTGGTACCATTGCATAGTTTTATAAAAAACTCCACTGCGGTGTGGTTTGTTATAAAGTGGGTGAACCCTCCTGAATTGCAGCTTTTAGGACATGCAGAATGATGATTCCAGTTAATAGTCTATTATTCAAAATCAAGATTTAAATTTTGAAACTGTAATTTAGACTTCATGCCTCCCTGCTTTGTCTCCAAGATCCCAGGCACTAGAGAGTCCCATTGTCCTGCAGACAATAAATAACCGGTGACATATTTCAGAGGAACATGCAGTAAACTGTTACAGACACAAGCTTCTGCCAGAAGAAAATACATCCTGACCTTTGTCATTTCTGAATGAATTGTTGCTCTATTTGTAGACTCTGCTTAATACAAAGAAGAGCTGATTATGGCTATTTTTTTTTTACCACCTTTACTGCATGTATGTATGATTTCTGTAAAAATACTCCCCATTGCCTTGCCTTTGGAAAAAAAGAGAACATATAATCCATCACCATCTCCATAGAAGTGATTTAAATAACTGTGATGATTAACTGTAGGATTTTACATTGATTTAACTGAAGCATTTATTCCTATTCAAAATCTATTTGACAGCTTTGGTCAATGGTGAGTGTAGGGGAAATGATCCTCCCCAGCTTCTGTTCTGCTTCTTGATTGCTTTCCTTTTGTGGAGCTGCTGCCTTTGTAAGTACCGCATGGTTCTGGTGGAGGAGCACGGCTGTGCCGGCTCAGGGCGCTGGGGTGTTGGTGCTGTAGCTGCGCGCGGGGGAAGCCCAGCCTCCCCCTGCGGCACGGCTGACCTGTAGGGTGTGGAGGGGTGGCGGTGCTGTGCCCACAGGGAGGGTACCTGTGTGATCCTCTGCAAGGCGAAGGTAAGGAGAGATTTTATCCCTTCAGATACACAGCGTCATTCCTGAGGTTGTTTTTGATTCGTACAGCTTACGTAGAGAAGTGGCAGTTTCCAGAACACCAGAGCAGAGTCTTCCTTGATTGCTAGTTGAGGAATGCCAGGACTGTGCAGTTTGGCTGCAGATGGTGGCAGTTCCCCAGCTCGCCAGCAAAGCTCCCATTTTCGGGCTTTCTTTCCCTTGGCAGTGGGCCAAGCTACTTCCTGAATGCTTAGTCCCCTGCCATATGCCTGACAAGCGTGCTTGATGCAGGAAGCGACGTACATTTAGGGCACCACAGAACTCACGGTGTCATAGAGCGCTCTGTAGCACAATGGGGTACCACCATACACGTACCTACCGCAGAGTATTTGCTTACAGAAAAGAAACCTTTCAAATTTAGAATCACAGTAATTCAGCTAATTGGGGCTCCAGTGGTAACAAGCTTGTAATAAGCTCCTTCCATGGCCATGAGTTCGTCATGAGTGCCCCTTTCAATGATGAGTCCTTGCGACATCACGGCGATGATGTCAGCGTTCTGGATCGTGGACAAGCGGTGGGCAATGACAATGCAGGTACGCCCTTCTCTGGCCTTATCCAGCGCTGCCTGCACAGTCTAAAGGCAACAGACAAAGTGTCAGAGTGAAACTCTGCAAACCCAGTTGGGAGAAACTGGAGAAATCCAATTGCATCAGGGTAACTAACCATGCTGTGCAACACTTGTAAGAGTGACCATGAGGCTTAATCAATGGCTGTGTTATGGGTGTGCTTAGCTGGATCATGAGCTCAGTTTATTAGCAGTACAAAGAAGAGACAGGTAAACACAGACAGCAGGAGAAATTACAGCAGGCCTTCGTTCAGCCAACAGGCCGAATGACAGCTCAGTGTGGGCATGTTTTTAAATTTCCACCGCCCCAATCTCCGAGTGTAACCAAGCTACACAAATTACTGCCCAAGTTCTTATGCCCCCCACTGCTGTTTTTTTGGGGTGTTCAGGCTCATCATTCATATGCTTGAATACATTTTTGGGTTTTTAATGTGCAGAAGCTATATTCATGAAACATTCCCACAGAATGCTTTGAAACCCAGGGAATTAGTATGCACGTTTCTGAAGAAGTGCTGCCTCTCATGGGCAGTCTAAGAGCCCTTGTAGCTGGCTGGGTTTTTTATAGCTGTGCTTCCTGGATCTTTTGAAAAGCTCATTAAAGTTGTTAAGCGCTGAATTAACTGTGTGGAATAGTGTTGTGGTCGTGTAGTGGAGTACGTTGGGATAGAATAGAAATAGAATAGAAAAAGGCGTTGTACATCGTAAGCCATTGTAGGAACTTTCGCCTATTGCTTATTGCTGCGCATTTACCTTTTCACTTTCTGTGTCTAAGGCAGATGTAGCTTCATCCAGTAATAAAATTTTAGGATCTCGGATGATGGCCCTCGCTATGGCAATGCGTTGTTTTTGCCCACGAGACAGCTGGGATCCTTGAGCCCCAACATTAGTTTCATATTTCTGAAAAATACACAAAAGGGAGATTTCATTCAGGTGTAAGCAAACACACCAGTACACAACCTGAAGGAAGGGCAGGAGGGGAGAGGCGAGAGCGCTGGCCAGTGCTGCCTTCTCCTTAAAACACCTGGTGATGCAGAAATGCTGTGGGAGTGATACATGTGTTTGGGGATACCTTTCCGAGCCATGCTTTGCAGTGCGTGTGGCCTGGGGGCCCAGGCAGTGTGGTGACAGCCCTGGAAGGAAAATTCGATAGCAAGCTATTGGCTGATTTGTTCAAGGCAAAACAAATCCCCCCCCAGATCTGGGAGAAGAGGCTAAAAGTGATTTAAGGGCTTTCTAGACAAGTGAGGTTTTTTGGGTGCCTACGTTGTAGCCATACCTTTTCTGTTCTTCTGATTTATATTTCTATGATTTCAGTGCATTTAAATACTTCTTCAGTGCACGTAAGACCCAGCTTCAAATATTTTTTTCTAAGTATCATGCCGCAGTCACAGGGCAAATCTCCCACAGCTGGGAACAGGATTTGTTTTTCCTGACTCAGTGTAATGCTTTGACTGCTGAACTGTGCTGCTTCTTACTTGTCCATGGCTTTGAAAAACCTTCCCTTTTCTCCCAGATCGGAGTTGTAACTGCTGGTTTCAGTTTTATAACTATTTGCCTACTGTGTACAAATCCAATTGCAGCTCAAGCCCAAACTCTCAGGAACACAACAAATGGGCACGACAACCCTTTTACTCCTACTGTTATAGCCATAAAAGTAAATAAAAGGTATATGTGTGTAGCAACTTTAACGGGGCTTGGAGCAACTTCTGCTGCAATGAACAACGAGCAGCCTGTCTGTAGTTCCACAGCCAAGGCCTCGCGGGTACTTACATCAGGCAGGGACATGACAAAATCATGCAGCTGAGCCTTCTGGGCCGCTTCTATGACTTTTTCCAGCGTCGCCTCTTTGGTGTTACTGCCATATTTGATATTATCAGCAATGCTGCAGTCAAATAGCACAGGCTCCTGGGACACTATTCCAATTTTTGATCTAAGAAACTGTACATTTATTTTCTTGGTGTCGTGTCCATCTATTAACTACCAGGAAATAGGAGAAAACTTGAAACATCATTCCAAAATGACAGCCTCCAGAACCCAAATCATTTATAGCAAAACTAAATGATTTTGCCATATGACTAAAATGCAAACACAATTGATTTCAAGTGATTTGAAGAATCTGCTTATATTTGACTCCTTTTTTTGGATGATGTGTATTTTCTGGGTATGTCTGTAACCCAGCCAAACACTAGACCATTTGCTTAATCTTCAGTACAAGTGAACCATTTAGTTGCTTAAGGTTAGGCACATGCTTTGTTGTCTTCCTGGCATAGTGATCACCACACCTATTTTTTCCAATGAGAAGACAAACTAGATGGTTAAGTGGTTACATGAGGAAAAGATATAAAAGCTTTTTAAGCTGTCAGTCACTGAATAACTGGAAGGTCATTCTAGAGAAATTCAACCTGTGAAGAAGCTGCCTGTTGAAGCTGTACATTTAGGGATGTTCTAGACTCTTCATTGCTCCATTCAGACTTTACTTTTGCTTGTGCTCCTACAATGTACGCCACATGTTGTATGTTTCATACAGGAGCTACCAAGGTGAATGCCTATGGCCTACATAATGCTCGAGGTACACCTGCTCTTGCCTGAATACCTCTGAGATGATACTCAGGAATTGTCTGAACTTGTTTGGGAAGGAGCTGAAGCCCCAAGCTGCATATGTACGTGCCACCACTGCTAGGCTGCACAGTAGGACACATTCAGAAGAGTCCTCGTAGCATTGCTGAAACCAGCAGCACACGCACCATGTTTCCCTTGCTTACCACACTGCCTTCCTCAGGGTCATAGAAACGCTCCAGAAGCTGGACACTGGTGCTCTTACCACAGCCGCTACTTCCAACAAATGCCAAAGTCTGTCCAGGCTTAACAGCTACAGAGAGCCCTTTCAGGACCTGAATGTCAGGCCGAGAAGGGTATGTGAATTTACAGTTAAGAAATTCAATGCTTCCCTTGAAATCATCCTGGTGAAAAAAAAAAAAGAGAAAGATGGTACAATGAGCTCGAGATCAAAACTGAATTGTAAAGTACAAAGTAACTCTTCCTCGGATTCCATTCTTGCATCTCTTATTTAAAGTATGACATTTGTGCTTGTGAAATGAGCCCAGAAGGAGGGATAAAACCACACTGGCATAGCTGGCCTAGAGATGAAGCCATTAGTTATAACTGTTGCTCTGCTTATACTTGCCCGTTCTGCACTGGTCAGAGGCATCAACTGGAAACAGGATTGCCTTGCAAATGGGTAAGTGTTTTATTTTAGTACAGACACTGTGTAAGTGTAAATTTGGTGATAATCCAAATACATTTGTGCAAAAAGCTGGATTTAGAAAAAAAAATAAAGTCAATTGAACTTGGCAACATTAAAACAATGGATGAATTCAGGTCAGTTTTCCCAGAACTCTTAAAAAACCTCTTTTACAAAACTGTGAAGGGACTCACAATACCTTATTTTCATGGTTAGAAGCAAAATACTTAATGTATTTAGTTCATAACATTTACTTCAATTTTTCATTTAATTCTGAAAAAAGCAAGTTAAATGAAAAACAAACTCTGAATTTTCTAGCTCTGACTCTTAACCAAAAATTGAGCATTTTCCTTTTGTCTGACTCAAAGGTGATTTGCTTCCTCATGATCAGCCCCAACACTTTGATGTGAATGGAGAAAAGCCTCCATTATAAGCTAGCGGTAGTCAGGTTTATGTGCGAACTGTAGAGCAGAAAGGAAAAACATGCTGTTCTGTGAGCCATCCAAATTGGCCCTATTCCAATTCACAGGAGTTTCACACTGATGAATTCCTACTAGCCACACTTTATGTTACCCCCGCTGTCTAGTACCGAGCTCGCTGCTTCCGAAAGAGTGAAGACAAATAACAATTATACAATCAGCGTAACCTCCTTGTAAAGCAGTGATCCTCGTTGACTTAGAAATCGTCAGTGCAACGTCAATGCTTATACTGAGCTCAATGATGTCACAAATTACTCTTCTCCGTCTTACCCATTTTTCCCCGTTTTCACTGTAAACACTGATTTTAGGAAGCTGATCGACCAGTTGAAAAAAGCGTGCAGCAGATGTTTTGGCTTTGGCATAGTTTGGGGTGTAGGAAGAAGCTCTTCCCAAAGCAGTGCCACTGGTCACAATAGCAGAGATCACCCTGCGGGGAAGAGGCACATGGTCATTCTTGGGAAGCCATCAGGAAGATGAACACTACGCTGAGACCAGCGCTTCTGGAGCGGAGCTGCTTCTGGCTGCAGGCAGGCTCTCACCTGAAGACAGAGCTGTAATGGAGGCCTTCCGTGTCAACGAGAAAGCCACCGTATCTGTAAGAGACAGCATTGGCAATGAACACTATGCTCTGGGCAAAGCCAAAGCAGGCGCCGTAAACGTGTGCTTTTTTGATTGCAGCTCTGTGGGGCATATCCAGGTGCTTCTCAAATTTGTTGATAAACTTCCCTATCCCAGCAACAGTCCTGATGTTGGAGAGGGCTTCACTGGAGATCTGGAGGAGAAAAAAAAAAATGGGTAAAAGTCCTGAATTTTACTTGGAACAGTAGAGTGTGCTCTTTCACAAATGCATGATTCTTTCATGGACACAGGGCACAAATGCCATATATAAATTGATTCAGATATGATACAGACTGGCCCAAATATCAGCCAACATAAAGAGAAACTTTCCTACAAGCAATGATGTACTAAATTCTCAACAGTCATAATAGGAATGCTCTGCTCCACTAGAGCTGTTGCTGCAAGCGCACCTACCTAAGAAATCAGGCACATGCTCTCACCTGTAACTTATTCATGTAATGTGAATATATCGGACATCCACAAAAGCAAAAATGGTTTTACCAACACTTTCATTTCCTTGATTGTGTGCAATTACTATTTACAGATGCTTATTTCAATTATTTTATTTGTTTTACTTATAGCAATAGTCAGGGCAAGAGTTAGAAGGCATGCTAGCCCCAAGTTCTGTTTCGGAAATGAAAGCCACTTGAATTGACTATGTTTCCTCACCTGCTCACCCTCCCTCTTTCTCTTGTTTATGTCCAAAAAAGCCTGATGAGATGGAACATATCAATGGAGGGTAACACCTTGATTCCTCTAACATCAGTGACACAATTTCCAGGATTTTTACCTTGTGCATAGGCAAAGAGTAAGCCAATGCTTGCCTATGTACATAGGAAAATGCAACACAGGCAATTATGAGATAGTCCCCATGGACATTTCTCTGAAGCTTTAATTAATTGTAGGCTTTATATTGTGCTCTGTTGCCAGTCAGAATTTGGGTTTCTGTCCCAAAAAAATAGCACCACAGTTTGATCTGTACAAGTACATTGACAGTTTGTTTGATCCTAATTCCACCCTAATTATCTCAAGTAATTTTATTAAGAAATCTGTTTCAAATGCTGTAGATTGCCTGGACTGATAGTAGCTTCATAGCATGACACTTTCCTTTGGGAAGCAATAGCCTGGTATATGGCTTATGAATGTCTTCAGCATGTAGGAAGAGATCTGATATGAGTCATTAAAAATATTCCATCCAATTTCAGGTTTTTTTCCCTGGCCAAAATTGAGAGTCAAATCTCTTGCATTATCATACAATGTGAAGGAGCAGATAAGTAGGTATTGTGAATTGGATTGTTTGGCCTCTGCTCTTCCATGTTTAGCATGGCTGATGAGCAATCACCGTGGAAGAACTCAAAGAGTGTTTAGCATTTAGATACAGTGCTGGCAAATAAATTAGAAAATACCGCCAGATGTAATCAGTCAGTGCCTAAACTGCTGAAGTAGATTCATCGCATTGAGTGCCCTTTTCATCCCAGCCTCTGGGTTACTCTGTTGAATAAAAGTTGATGCCTTGACTCATTAGTGAAGTTTCTCTCCTTGTCAAGACAGTATTTTGATTTTGATTTACTTTTTTAACCCATTAAACCATTCTGAATGTGGGCCTTAAATCTTCCTTGGCTTTCTGGAATTGAAGATTGTTCCTAACAGCGCTCAACAGTGGCCCGTGAATGTACTCATTTGATCAGTGATGCCAAAGTCAAGTGATACTAAGTAAGTCACGTAGTACCTTCTGTGCATTAAAAAAAAAAATAAATCCAGAAATCTGCATGTGTAGGTAGTCAACATGATTTTTTCTTTTTTTTTTTTATTTCTATGCTCCCAGTCATGACATGCTTCTTTAAATCACACCCAGAAATGGCATTTGGGAGCTGATGATTTGCTTCTTCAGAAGGCAAAAAGGGGGTGGCAGGCTGAGCTAGCTGCAGCGGGCAATGGGAAAGAAACAGCCAGCAGATGCGGAGCTGAACAGAGCAAGGGCTCCAGTCCATGTGTTTGCTGCACAGATTAAGGTCAAGAGGAGGCTGAAGGTACTTGGCTGAGAGCTCAGATGGGTAGAGGGAAGGTTCAGATGGGGCAGGGTGGAAGGTGCAATGGGCAAGATATTTGGCGGGCAGGACTTTAAGGCAGGAAGGAGGAGGATTGGGAGGAGTGAGAACTCTGCAAGAGTCATTTTAAGATGGGCTAAAGTAGCTTCGTAGAAGGAAAGTCTGAGGCTCTGAGAGGGCCTCCAAAGGTTACTTTTTCTGATGCTAGAAATATGGCAGCCTAAAGCAGGGGAGAAGGCTCAGTCATTACTCTGAGCGGGGTAACCTGAGGTTGTCTTCCTCATGTTGCCTGTCTTCAAATCCCCTGCATTTCTGATGCAGTTCAGGTTCTGCGTAGTTGAACCAGGTGTATTTAAAAGGTATCAGGTACTGGGTCATGTGACAGAACTTAGTGATCCAGAACTGAAGTCAAAGGAGTTTGAGTGTTTCAAAGGCAGCAGAGCTGCGTAGGAGTGAGCTGGCATTCCTTTCTCCTGCATCCCTACCTTGTCCTTGTTTGGTACATGGCCTGGAAGTCTGCTCAGCCACTGCTACAGTGACTACAGAAACCTGTTCTCAGCCTTTGCCGTGAGGCAGTTCGCAGGGTCTTGCAGCCAGCGGAGCATGGGATGCTGCTAACCATGATACTGGAGCTAGAGTGATGGGGAGGAGGGCTTTAGCCAGGGGTCACTGAACACTGGACACATTCTTTCCAAGGAAAGGAATTTCCTTCCTCATTCCCATGCTGGTTGGTTTACTACCCACACAGGTGTGTATTCACTGTGGAGCAAAATTTAAAGTATTATGAGAAAATGCTATTTCTCCTGTTACAAATTAATGGAAAAAGAGTTAATGCTTATCTGAATAATAAAAAAAAAATACTTATATACTAGCTGAGAAATGAGAATCGACAGAATTTTGACCCTTAAAAACCATACATGAAAATAAAGTTATGCCTGTGATCTAGCAGCACACATTGTAGGGCCCACTGCAGGAAAAATTTTGCTCTCTCTAAAATCCACGTACTGATCTGTGGGTTCGGTGCTGAATTCTCAGATGTGAGGCTCCCTAGGTAAGCAAGTATTGCTGCTTTCTGAGGACAGCATAATCACAGGGCACCAAAAAATGGGTATTTAAATAAAACCCAACAATGGTGAATCAGACAGCTGAGAGATCTGCGCCTACCTGTTAAGTCAAATAACTTTTGAAAAGTCAGTCATATTCCATGCAGCAAGTGCTGTTGCAGTTAGGGAGTTCCCCTGGTGTTTCCATGCTTTGACAGGCTGAAATATTACAACTTATTTCCAAAACATTGCCAGTTTCATTACATTTGAATTACTGATGGTCCCAAATGCCTGATTTTTCAACTACCCATGACTGCAAATATAAATTAGTTTTAAATAACATTACCTGTCCAGTAGCTTCCAGCGCTTTCTTGTCCTGAGAGGCAAATCCTGTCAGCATTTTAGCCTGCACAGCTCCAGATAAGGCCAAAAATGGCAGGAAACACAGTATAACTAAACTCAGTTTCCAGCTGAAGTAGAAAGCAATGATCATGGCCACCCCAATGTTGGTAAATGCATTGACAATCATTCCTATCTGCGATCCAGTTGCCTTCAAAGAAAAGAGAGATGATTGACTTGTACTCCTATAGTAACTTCCATAATCTTTAAATAAATTCTCCTGTAAAACTTTAGAAAACTCTAATTTATATTAAAATATCATAAGGCACCAACAGCTGCTGACTACACTGGAATTTAGGCAGTATGGCTATACTGTTTCCAATTCATTGTATCAGGAGAAGGACTGCAAATGTCCCAATATTTCTTTCATCCACCAAACTTTCCACTGAGAACTCAGAAAATTGTTTCTAATGATTGCAAGAAAGATAATCTAACCATTTAAATTAGTTCCCTTGGTTCCTTAGGGAACCACTCACCGAATACTCTGTTTAGCCCCTACATCTATCCATCCACATTTAAATAATAAACAGAACCCTCTTGTAACTTAACCATCAACAACAAAGTCTCAGCTTTGCTAAAATCAGTAAGAAACATCACTGAGAAAGGATGAATTAAAGTGCATTTCTGCCTGTCTCCTTATTAAGGAAAAATTTTTAATATGCCTTTGACATGACCTTTATTAAATGCATTCATTTCTCCTTATGTACTTCAAGAACACTACTCTTTGTAATAAACTTGATTTATTTACTCAAAAGTTATTTTCTTTCATAGCAGTGAACAGCAGCCCTAGATAGGAACTAGGTTGCTATGTATTAGAAAAACCCCACACATTTGGCATCCTTGATCATTTTTAGTCAAATTCATTTGCAGGATGTGAACTTGCAGCATAAAATGCTCATTGTCTGCTCCTCCTCTGACCTGCAGCAACGAAGCAAGGTGCCTCGGGCCTGGCCGCAGTGGAAGGTGCAACTCCCAGCTCTGCAGAGGCTACCAAAAGGAGCAGCCATAGGGCTGCTCTTACCCGGATCCTGCAGCTCTAACACCCCACACACACTCCAAGAGTCCACTTCTTAACACCTGGTGCAGATGTTGCCATTCTCAGAGCTCAGACACTTGTGTGCATCTTCTCACCTTCAGCTCGCTCTGCAATAGCAGCAGCTGGCTAAGCTCTGGGTCAGGCAGTGAAGGGTGGAGGACACTGCTGCTCAAACAGCTCTGTGCTTTTTTCCTCAGAGCTGTGGGTTCTATGTGCTTCACTGCTCTACATGTGATTGCAACAAAGATGTCCCTTAGCAGGCTATTAAATGTAAATTAAAATATTACAAGTTTGTTTATTTCAATTAAAATATGCCCTGTAAGGCTGAAGAGGCTTACAGCTTGTTTCTCTGATTCTGTAAAATTGCTGCTGACAGGGGTTTTGAGAACCTCTTCTCTCTTTTGTCTTTTAAATTCTTAAAACCTCCATTAATAGTTTTTAAAAACTAACCTACCATCTTCGGTCAAGCTGAAACAGGACAATTTTTGTAACAAAGAAATCTGTGCTTCCTTCTTTGTTTCTAGAAAATTGCTCACATTGGAGCCAAGTAAAATGGCATCTGACTCACTTCTACCAAAGCATCACTTCAGATAGGTAGTATTTATAGCTCAGCATGATTTAACCCTCGCCCACTAAGGAACACAACAGATGGAGTTAGTGGTTCACTTTCCCAGACAATAAGTCACGCTGAAACCGGCCACGTGATTCCCTGGCCAGCACTGTAAACTGGTTTTCCAAGTGGACTGTCAGTTTAAATGGGAAGTGTCACAACAAGCACAACACCATGCTGAAACCTTGAAAACATGATTAGTGATGAATGTCACTAAAATATTAGTCTGACATGTTTTTGAAATAAACACTTAGCATTGTGGTGAAAAGCTAATTCATCTCCAGAAAAAAGGAAAACTTTTGCACCAGATGGTTGGTCCTTCCCGTTCCACTGATGGTTGGTATTTTATTGATTTTTCTGTTCTTGTTCTGATAATACAGGCAGGAATAACAGGCAGTAAATTGTGACCCTATTTGTGCTTTTAGGTAAATACAATGATAATAGTTCCACATTGACAGTCTATGATAAAAAGAAATAGCTTAATTGACTGACCAAGGACCAATTGACACTGACCTCGCTGGCTGCATGGCAGCTAATTTCTGTGACAATGTGTCAAAATAGGCCTTCAATCAGTGCTTATAGTAAGATGATCCTTAAGCTACCAGGTCTTACCCCTTGGACCTGTGAGGCATCTGTTGCAAGTCTTGTAGTCAAAGCACCGGGGCTGTTCTTCCGGTCATCAAACCAACCAATGTCTTGCCCTAGCATAGCCTGGAAACCAATTTTCCTTAACCGTCTTGTAAGCAGCTCACCAGACTTGGCAAAGGTGTATCCCTGGGGTGCATAAGAATAAATACAAATGTTGTACAGAGAGAGGTACCCACAGAGTAAGGGATCAGAAACGAAATTTACCCATATCAGACTGCTATTACCTGTAGAAACTGTGTGAAAAATGAAAGAATTCCAACAAAGACAAAGAGCAGGCAGACACCATTGATCTGGATTCTTTGTTCTTCTTCATCAAGAATGGAGAAAGTCTTTGAAAAAAAAAATGGGTGGCATCACATTAGAAGTGTGAGTTTTGCTCTGTGTGAAGTTTGTTCGTGACTCCCTATTGCCAAGCCAGAAGCCCGCCCTAGAACCAAAGCCAGAACACAGAGCTCTCTCTCTCTCTCACCCCTTGCAAAGGCCCGGTTCCTCACCTTTCCTAAGGTGAGCCTAGGTACAACATAATGCTTTTTGCTCCTGCTAATCAACAAGTTTCTTATACTCACTGTCTGCACACACTGCTGTTACTTGTTGCCCATCCCTAGTTATAACTAATCTATCATCCCCCCCCTCTAAACAAGATCCAGTGTGATAACCAGAGAACAGCAACGAAATAAATAGCATAGTGACAAAGCACAGTGCAGTAGCTCCCTTACCTCCCCCCTAATCCATGCCATTTGCAACCTTATTAGGCCATACAAAATGAACTCTGTGTAAATAGTTCTACCCTAGTGCGTCTCTCCTTGCACAACACTAACGAATGCTGTAATTGCTACAGGTAGGCTTCAAGAGGAACCTACTGTCTTTTTCTGAAGGAGTGTGGATACGAGCTATTCGCGTACTGCTGTGTACTTCAGGAAAAGCATCAGTGCCTAAAGTAGAGCCCCTCCACCCATTCTGCTCCAGTCTCCATGGTATTTTCCTTTTGCCTCTCGTTCTTAATATCTGGTCTTTTTCAACACCTGCCAGTGTTACTGGCTGCTGCTGAAGTAGTGGTCCAAATCTAAGGCCATCCTTTAGCAACTCCTTTCAGTCAGAGCAGTCGATAGGTAGATCAGTTAACCTACCTGAAGTCGTTAAACTACTTCTGCTACTTGCAGGTATAAGCCACAGCTCATGTTTGTACTTGGACTGAATGAGATATAAGGTGAATTCAGTGCATGCATAAACTGTGTCCTACGAAGATTCTGGATTTTAGAATTGCTGTGATGGTATTTGCTGTATCATCATGGTATGCAATATCTAAACATGAATGAGAAAATGCACTTCATAGTAGTGGTCATGCCACACGCATAGCTAGCCTAAAACAACTAGGGCAATAGCTAACTACTCATCATTTTGAACATGTGTTAACATCTATGTCATGTTAATTATAGTGCTGTGGTACTTTTTCACATGAAAAAACATCAGCAAAATCTCTGTTGAAATGAATAGGAATTCTAATGAGTAAAACTAATAAACAGCATGATAGACACAGTATGTGATGGATCATAATAATTATATAGTTGTGAACTGGGATGAAAAACACGACTCTCCAGAAATGCCAATGGCTTTTTCACAAGTGATTTGCATGCTGTCTTTGCACAGTCATCCAGAAACACTGGGATGACTCCACACATGGATTGAATATAACATTTTTTCTTTTCACACTTTTTCGCTTTAGTTGAAAAAATAAATATCAAGTACAAGACTGAGCATTGAAAAGAGAGATAAACAGTTGCCCTAGGACCTTGCAGCGAGTCCCAGTAAGTATTTATACTTGTTATAAATAAGCCTTTGTTCATTGCTTCTGTATGGCTAGATGGTAGGCAAGACTAAGTGGGAGTCTTCATTTCAAGAAAGTCAAAGGCAACACAGTTCCTGATTTCAGGGAGGCTGGATCCATAGCCATGCTTATGAAAGGTGCTCTTGAAAAGGGAGAGTGCTGTGAGCTTTTGTTTTAATATTCTATCCTTATCACCCACATTCAAAGTAGTTCCCCCACTTTCTCTTATGCAAGAACTATGCAGTGAAAGGCCCTCCCAGTTCCTGTGGCCGGACTCTCCATTGCTTCTAGATAAAGGCTGAGAGAACTGCAGTGTCTGCAAGACACCTTGAGGGTTCCTGGTGAAGCCAGTTACTGGTCAATCTGGGATTCCTATTGCAAGCTCTAAATTCAAGGAAGCATCCCAGCTTGAGAAAAGCAATGGGCTGAAGTATGTGCTCACACTCTCCCTAAACTGAGAGCAATAGCACTTTATAGCCCTTCAGAAGGAAATATGGATAACGTTCCTTGGGAAGAGATCTCTGTATTGCAAACAGAGGATTTTTTTCCCCGCGCAAATCTGTCGCAGCTAAGTTTTTGACCTATGTTCTTGATTTAAAAAAATAACACTGATTATAGTAATAGGTAGCACCGACAATAGTGTCAGGTCTATAAAAGGAAAGAGTTGTTGCTGAAGTGTCCATGTTCAGATTACATAAGTTTCAGCAGTTTTAGTATGGACTGCCTTATCTGGGGCCATGGGCTACACATCCAATAGCAGTTGGAGCACATCTTCCAGTTGAGAAAAGATCCAGTTCCCATACTGTGAGACAGTTCCACAGCGGGAATCAAAGTATAGTAAGAAGAAACCACTCAGAAATTTGTTCCGAAGGTACACTTCTGATCTGAACTGATCAGAAGACATATCCAGTATTATCCAGTTCTTCATTCACTTTTTGGGATTAATTTCCGAGAAACTTCAAGGCAGACTTTGCTAAATTTATCCTTTCATTTCATAGCTGTGGGGATTTCTCCCCTCACTTCCCCAGCATATTGGTCGCAGAGTACAAGCCCACGTGTCTGTCACAACATCGCTGCAGATATTCAGATAGCCTGGAACGCAGATGCATATTCCATCTGCCTGGCTGCCTCAGCACCAGGCAGAAAGGTTTTAAATTTATGAATAATGAAACACAGATTTTGGACTTTGCTCACATTCATTATGACTTGTTTTTTTCTTGCAGCCTCTCTCCTTTGATGGACTGAGACCTTCAAGAGAAGAAATTAATCCTTGGCAATGAAGGCGTTTAGCATCTTGCAGGATGACATCAGCCGCAGACCTCCCAGTGTCTAGAAAACCTCTCTCAAAAGGAATCAAAGGTTAGATTAATGGCAGAATGCACATAGCAGTGTCTCACTTGCTGTCTAGTGAGAGACACAGTCTTTGGCATGAGGTCTAGACAGTCAAAAAGCGTTTGGAGGTGGCACACCTACAGCTAAAAGGCCAAGCACATTGGCTGGGAGCCACTAATCAGATCAACAGGGACTGGGACAGCTTTTGCTCTGCCCCTCCCTGGGTCTGAGCTGGCAAACATGAAGCTGCAAGTAAATATCAAAGTCCTGAGTAACTTCCCCAAGAGAAATGTCTAAGCCAAAACAACCCCCGTGAAAAAACAAAAAAGCAAAAGGTCAATCTTTCTTTTGATAGATTGCTGGCACTGCTATTAGGAGCATTTTCGCAACCCTTTCCTAATCAG